TACACCACTTTTTTTGTGCCCGTTCAGTTGGCCTACGAATGGTCCCAGACTACACAGTACGGAGAATCAGAGACACGGTCAAATTCCAGCAGAAACAATCCTGTTTGCCCTCATTGTTGATAGCCAGTGATCGGATACGATCGACTTGCCTGACTTCCTCCGACATCATCGTTGACGTGGTTGCCCCGCCCAGTCACATTTGGGAGTCTAAGAGGCTGGGACCGAACCGGGAATCATAAGCTCAGACAAGCATGTCTCTTATGATATCATTTACGGACGTCTCAAACGCCATGATGATCGCTTGATGTACGGAGTACAGTGTACACACAGTCGGACACAGTGCATCCACCCTCCGTAGTTAGTCCATACGATGTGCACAATTCCCCAGGTTGATCGTCGGCTGGCCTCTTGCATATTCTGAACAGTGCGCAGAAAACCCGGATCGTCTCTACTCGGCGGTTTCCCAATCAATTCTCTTGGTGGACGGAGCGTCTTCGCTTGTTTTGTATAGACTAGTTCTTGCTGATCTCCGTTCGTTTGGAGCCGTCACTCTCCGAAAGGTCTTCCCCGCCTGTTTCCGGGGCCTATTCTATTTAATTGGATTTAATTACGGTGTAGGGAGTATATTATTGATGATCCTTGATATATTGTAACTAGGTCCGATTAACCAAGGAGGTTCTGTGTACTATATGTACCATCGCCGGGCGCCCCGCATTCCACGGCAGCTGCACGTGGTGGGCGCATGCTCCGTAGTCAAACCAGGGAAGTTCGTAGAGATGAAGTCGACGGTGTATATATTGACTGTTTACGAAGCAACATGGAAGTAAACCTACCTGCCTTAGACTTTAGGCACTCTATGGTTGCAGGAGAGCAGGCGCGCCGGTGATTGGCTGAGCATGGCTTGTTTATTGCCGCCCGGCAGGAACGACCGTTCGTCCCCTCCTCCCCTCTTCTTCCTCTCTTCCTCTTCGGATTTCCCACCCTCACCTTTTCCCTTTCATCGTATTCTTGACTTTGATTAATCTATCAGCCCTCTCGTGGGAACCCCTCTGATTCTCACGTCGAGCCTAAACCTAGTCGCCAGTTTTGCATCATGCGCGGCGAGGTATATACCCGATTTACTTCCCCCGCACCCGTTCCCCTCTCCGGTTCCTTCGCGCGTGGCCCATCCCTATTTCGTCTAATCCATGAAGAATCCGATTGATTCTAATCCGTCTTATCATTCACTTTTAGGTCTGTCACCTCCACATTGGCCAGGCTGGTACTCAGCTTGGTAACAGTGCTTGGGAGCTGTACGTTGTCACCGTGGTTCCGCCACCCGTTCCCCCGCAACCATCAATGCCCATCAATACTTACTCCGATTTAATCAATTCAGGTATCTCCTTGAGCACGGTCTCAAAGCCGATGGTTGTCTGGACCCTGAGAGATCGGAAGAAGTCAACGAGGGTGGCTCTTTCCAGACCTTCTTCACCGAAACCAACAACGGCAAATACGTTCCGCGCTCCATCTTCGTGGATCTGGACCCTTCGGTATGTAACCACCGGGCATGACGCTGCCCATATAATAAATAAAATATTGAGCGCTAACCCCGCTGTCAGCCGATCGATGAAATCCGCACCGGTAGCTATCGCCAGCTCTTCCATCCCGAATTGCTAATCAATGGCAAGGAGGATGCTGCCAACAACTGTATGTCTAGACTCTCCCGACCTGGAAGAACACCAGTGCTCATTCATAGCAGACGCCCGTGGCCACTACACTATCGGAAAGGAGCTCGTTGACAACGTGATTGACCGGATTCGCCGTGTTGCCGGTACGTCCAGAATTCTGAACGAAGGGATCTTGATCACAAGCCTTGCTAACAACGATCAGACAACTGTTCTTCTCTCCAAGGCTTCCTCATCTTCCATTCTTTCGGCGGTGGTACCGGCTCCGGATTTGGCGCCTTGCTGTTGGAGCACCTCTCGACTGACTATGGCAAAAAATCGAAGCTGGAGTTTGCCATCTATCCCTCTCCTCGCGTGTCCACCGCTGTCGTCGAGCCATACAACGCCGTTCTATCTACTCACAGCACCATTGAGAACTCCGACTGCACTTTCTTGGTAGACAACGAAGCCGTCTACGACATCTGCCGTCGCAACCTAGATATCCCTCGCCCCGGTTACGAGCATCTGAACCGTTTGATTGCCCAGGTGGTCAGCTCCATCACCTCTAGTCTTCGCTTTGACGGCGCCCTCAACGTCGACCTGGCCGAGTTCCAGACTAACTTGGTGCCATTCCCTCGTATTCACTATCCTCTGATTTCTTATGCGCCCGTGGTGGGTAGCAGCCGCAGCTCTCATGAAAGCTTTAGAGTCCAGGATCTCACCTTCCAGTGTACGTGCTGCCCGTCCCCAGAGCGAAAATACATCGATCCGGCCTCGTGAACAGCTACTAAAACTTTCTAGGCTTTGAACCCAACAATCAGATGGTGGTTTGTGACCCTCGCAATGGCAAGTACATGGCAGTCGCTCTTCTGTACCGTGGTGACGTGGTGCCTCGTGACTGCACTCAGGCCATCGCCTCACTCAAGGCCAAGTCTTCGTTCAACCTCGTGGAATGGTGTCCCACTGGATTTAAGCTGGGTATCAACTATCAGAAACCCGTGCGCGTCCCTGGCGGCGAGCTTGCCCCTGTGGATCGCTCCGTCAGCATGCTTTCCAACACCACTTCGATCGCTGAAGCCTGGGGTCGCCTGGACCACAAGTTCGATCTCATGTACTCCAAGCGTGCTTTCGTTCACTGGTATGTGGGTGAAGGTATGGAGGAGGGTGAGTTCTCCGAGGCCCGCGAGGACTTGGCTGCTCTAGAGAAGGACTACGAGGAAGTCGCCAACGACAGCTTGGAGCCGGAGGCCGAGGAGCCGGAGTACTAATGATCTGGTTACCCTTCGTCTGGTTTGCTTTGATTGGTTTGATTCTTGGTATTGTCTAATCTCTCGTGCCCTAACACGTAATGCTTTCTCCGTCCTTTCTGCTCGCGATAACCCCCCTCTGTTCCTGCTTGCCTAGCGTTGATTTTAAAATTTCGAAAAATTTCCTTGTGGGTGATTCGGAGTATTCTACAGGATCAGAATATCAGAATACAAGTGCTTAATTATTCTAATTGGTCTTGAAATATGTCTAAGAGCGTATAAACATAAACAGGAAACGCGCCGGCCCAGATGATAGATCGAGATACTGTACAACCAACCACAATTTATAAGAGCAAGCACTTCACTCGTCGGCCGCTGCATCCATCTTCTGCAGTAGCTTCAACGACTCCTCGTACGTCCACATAGTCACCGCGCTGGCCGGTGCCGCCTTGAACAAGCTCACGGTCAATCCGCGATAGAGACCGCGAACGCCCTGCGTCCGCACAATCATGGCAATCGTATTGAACACGCCCTGATACTCTGGAATATTCCGATGCACATACAACGACCGCGTCGGGCCCTGCACCTGCAACCTCTTCCTCACCAAATCCAACGGAAACACGCCCGTCTTCGCCAACACGCTCGACACGACGCCCGCGACCGCATCGCCCGACCCGAACGGCAAATCCTGCACCCCGGCCAACGTCGGCCGCAGGGACTCATACGTCGCGAAGAACAGCCCCATGTACGGCACGATCTGGCCCACCGCGGCACTGCACCCGCGAAAAAACCCCCGTGGTCCTTCACGCGCAGCGATCTCGCGCACGGAGCCCAGGAGGGATCGGTAGACGCGCTCGGGGCCTTGCGCTGCGAATCGCGTTCGGAGGAGATCGAGTGGGTAGGTTGCTGCCGTGGCGGTTCCGCCGGCGAGGGCGCCCGCGACGAAGGATTCCGCGGGTGGAGGGAGTCGGTAGGGGAGTTGGGAGAGGGCTTGCGTGGTTGTTCGGTAGGTCGTGAATTGGGCGGCGCCGTAGCATACGTACATTAGTTCTGCGGGGACGTTGCCTTTCCAGAGGCCCTGTTGTGGTTGGGGGTGGTGGTTAGATATCGTGGCTGTTTGGTGGGGATCGGAGGAGGTTCATCTAGGCTGGTGAATCAATGAAAGACGTACGGTGATGCCTTCCTGGCGCACGATCGACCGCATCGTGGATAACGTGCCCTTGTAGATTGGCCCTTTCACATATTGATGGGATGTCGGGTCGGAGAGGGAGTGGATTTGCAATTGGAGGCGGATCTTGACGACATCGAGGGGTGCGATGCAGAATCTATCAAAACAAACCAGGTCTAGTTAGAATCAAGACCGAAGACTCTCCCTGTGCAAACAGAAAGACAGGCATAAAGGGAACTGTGCACGCACCTGGAAACCAAACCCGCTATGCCACCGGCAAGGACGACCTGTCGCCGGGTGCCCTGATAAGAAACAGAACTTAGTCTCAACCACACCAACGCCAGCAGAAGACCAATTGATCGGTCATGAACAAAGTAAACGATACTCTGTCAGGGAGAGAGTCAAGTGTGCACTCACCTCATCCTTCAGATGTTCTCCCCCGGCCGACATGCATATGACAGATGACGAAGGGGAGTTGAGATTAGGAAAATCCGGGGATAACCGGGGGCGGAAGAGACGTCAAGATCGTATGATCAAGTGGGCGGGAGCATCGAACGGACAGGGAACGGAGGAGTTGCGAGTTGAGCCCCGTGGGGATGTATGCAATGTTGTTTAAGTGTAAAGAATTGGATTGTCTTGTCTTTCTGGCGAGAAACAAGGAAGATGGTGTCTGACATGTCCATTAGATAACTCGATTTCTCCTGGGGAAAAAAAAAAAAAAAAAAAAAAAAAAAGGCGGAAATGAAACCGGCATTGGATGCCTGAGGTATATACGGAGTAGTAACTGCCCCAGGCACTAAACTACTAAAGCGGCATGGCGCCAGTCCATCTCCGCAGTGACACCTTCCTGAACCGAGGTCCAAGACAAGCGCCCACTTCTCCTCACGGCCGACTCTTCGACACCCCTCTTCGTCCTCTTCGTGAGTTCAACATCCAAACACCATGGTTCGCCTGCTGAGAGCTTTCACTAGCTCTGCGCGAGCAGTGGCACCCTCATCTCTCTTGCTTCAACGACGATGCTACTTTGCCGATGCTCTTGTCGATGCTTTCAAGTCAACAGGGAAAAAGCCTCCTCAAGCGCCTCATGATGCCCAAATGGATGCCCGGAGAGTTGTCGAATCCGTGGGCGACAAAACTTTACCGCTGCTAGACCTGGAAGGGCCGGTCCCTGAGGGCATTTACGTCAACGGAAAGATGCTGGGAATACCTAAAAAACATGGTAGGACATGGTATCTGCACACGATGCTGCGCGATGCGTGTCGGTGCCCTCAATGCGTGGACCCCCATTCCAAGCAGCGCAACTTCCGGACCAGCGATATCAACATTCATGTGCGCCCGCAGTCGATTCGCCTGGACGGTGATACTCTCGAAATTAAGTGGAAAAATGATCTTCTAGGCCACAGTGGGTCGCACGTCTCAACATACAATCTAGAAGAGTTGCATGCCCCAACTCCCATCCCTATAATATCCACCGCCGGAGCCAAGAGAAGGCGCTTTTTATGGGATCGGGACATGATGGAGCAAACCCAGCATTGGATCGACTACGAGGACTACATGCAAGGCGACAACAAGTTTGTGGAGGCCATGCGCCACCTGGCCCTGACTGGGCTGATATTCGTCAAGAACATCCCAGACACCCGTTCGCGTTCGAAGGTGGAGAAAATCGCGACCAAGATGGGCCCGCTCCGGAATACCTTCTACGGGCAGAGCTGGGATGTGCGCAGCGTGCCTCAGGCCAAGAACGTCGCGTACACGAACCAGAACCTCGACTTCCACATGGACTTGATGTATACGAAGAACCCGCCCGGATACCAGTTGCTGCACTGTCTCGAGAACTCCAGCGTTGGCGGCGAGTCACTGTTCCTGGACTCCTTCAGCGTTGCGCAGGTGTTACATACGACTTGCTACCAGGTTTTCGAAAGACTTACCCAGATGGAGCTCAATTACGAGTATAACCATGAGGACGACGTCTACAACTGCCGCTGGCCCGTCTTCGAGGTCGGGTCATACCACTCAAGCACAAACATGGACCTGCGGTATGTCAACTATTCACCGCCCTTCCAGGGCCGGCTTCTGAAAATGAGAAAGTACAAGCATGCCAGCGAGGGCCTGCGCGCGTTGAATTACTTTGCCCGGATGTTGGAGGACAAAGATCGCATCTTCGAGCGGAAAATGCGGCCCGGCGAGTGTGCCATCTTCGAGAACCGCCGCGTGCTCCATGCGCGGCGGCCCTTCGACTTGACCAGCGGTAGCCGCTGGCTGGCCGGTACCTACGTCGACGATGAAGCTCTCATGTCCAAATTCCGGACTCTCAGCCGAAAGTACCCCCATGCTTGGTACAAATATCCCCTTGCGAACGGAAAGCAAACATGGAGTGAGATGAAATTGGCTGGGTTACTGGCTCCAGACCAAATGGCTGAAGCCAAATTCTTCGGTGGAGGCGACGAGGCCGAGGATGAATTCGCCGATAGAAGCGCCGAAGCTGAAGCTGAATACTGGGGTGAGGGTGACGAGGCCGAAACTAAATTCTTCGGTTAGGACGACGACTGACTGCAATTAGTTGGCTTTGCGATACACAAGCGTCGTGACAGCCAGCTCATGGAGCAGTTTGTCAGTAGATTCGATGCTAGAGGAAAGCCAACGTACAGGTCCATATATAAGTATTTCAACATGTATGTAAGATACTTTTTTATCTTTGCGTTTTTCAAGCGACCAATTCCTATATTCTTTGGGTTCTCTTATCCCCTTTCAAGCGTACGTTCAATACATTGAGTCAGAAGGGAGATAGAATAAGATAAAAGTGAAATCATTCCTCATCGCTAGTTATAATCTAACACTCAGCATCAAATAATAGTAAATCAAGGCCGATAGACCAAAGACATTGGTATACATGCCAATGGACCGACACCATGGTTCCTGGAAATCTATGAAGAATAAATATGGGGGGGAAAAAAAAAGGAAAGGAACAAAAGCTCAAGCGGTCTTGTTCACGGAGAAAGCGTTCAAGAAGTCGGGATCATTTTCCAGTTCTTCCTTAACCTGTACATTGGAGATAAATAATTAGCGTCATTGCAATAGACAAGAGAGGTGCGAGAGAAAGAAACAAAAAAACACCAGGAAAACAGAGAAGGAAAGAGAAACATACAATATCCAATCCACCAACCAACTCCCCACTACACCACAACTGAGGGAAAGTCGGCCACTCCGCGAACTCCTTCAGACCCTGACGCACATCCTCGTCCGCCAGAATATTAAAGAATCCGTATTTGACGCTGCGCTCCCGCAGGATGCCCACCAGCTGCCGACTGAAACCGCACTGCGGCGCACTCGGCGTCCCCTTCATGAAGAGCATGACCGGCGCGGCCTTGACCAGCTCCGCGAGGCGAGCGAACAGCGCCTCCTTGGACTGTTCGGGGGTCAGCGCGGGGGCCGCGGCGGCGTTCGCGTTGACAGGCGGCTGGGTCGCAGTCGCGGGGCCGTTCTCTCGCGGCACAGCGGACAGCGGCGGCGGGATGTTAGCGCCCTGGGGAGCACCAGCAGGAGCGGCGGACCCGGCGTGGCGTTCGACGGCGTCGCGTACCTTAGTGGCTTCACTGCCGGAGATGGATTCAAGGACGGTGGCGTTGCGGATGAGCACGACGAAGGGGACGGCAGTGACGTCGTATTCTTCTGAGATATCAGGGAGTTCTTCGGCGTTGACGCTGACGAAGGCGATCGAGGGCGGGGAGGTGGCCGGGTACTGGGAAGCGAGGGCGGAGAGGACGGCGCGCATTTGCGCGCAGGGAGCGGCCCATGGTGCGTGGAAGTAGAGGACGAGCAGGGCGGAGGGAGGGAGAGACTGGGTGATAGAGTTCAGGTGAAGCTCTGAGTCGATTTCAATGAGGGACGACATGGCGAAAACTGTGTGAGGAGAGTTGAGTCGGTGTCGGGTGGGGTTCCTAGCGGGGGAGAGGAAGAGGGAGAAATCGGAAAAGTAGTGGGGGGAGGGGAGAGGAGGGTTAAGTATCCCGATGAACGGTGAGCTGACGAAAGTAATGGGAGTTTGAATACTGAATATTAGATGGGTCTTCGCAAGAGAACGCCGGTAAGAAAGGAAGCGGCCGGCAATGCGTTTGGCGGGGGAGTTAACAAGGAAAAGAACGAAGGAAGCAGAAGATCAGCGAAGGCAAAGAAGATTTGGCTTATCAGATCGAAACCGGCGATATTCCGTAGACTGGGAGCATCGTTGTTCCGGTGACACCATCGGCTGAGTCAGGCCGTATGGCTGCTGGCTTGGGGCACGATTCAGGCTGCCAGGCCGACATGGCTGCTGACGGAGAATAACTTTACCTACTCAGTACGGAGTAGTCTGTACTTCGTACTCCGTAGTGTTTAGGTAGTGTGTGTTAGTAGCAGGAACATATGACTGCATCGAGCAAGACATCCCCACCTGCCTGAGGCAACAAGGCGATACATTGCCGAATCCAGTAAGGCCGGAAACCCTGTTATCGTTATCATCACGTGCTACAAAAGTTGGTTCGTTTGGCATCCCGGGGCAACGCTGCTTTCTGCACATGCGCCTGCTTTTGCTTTTGCTTTTGCGAGACCGGATTACTGACTGGAACCGTCGGATATTCGCTGAACGTACATGATCTAGACGCGACAAGCGGATTGTACAGAGATCTGCTGTAATTGACCCTTCCTTCTCCAACTCCGGATGGTCGCCGCAAGCCCAGACATGGCCGGCTCCAAAAAGCGCAAGCATTCCGATGACGAAGACCCGGTTAAAGGTTCGAATACAGATACTTCCTTCGGAATCGGTCAGACTTTATCTCGGCTTCAAAATAACCCGACAGCAGATACAGAGTCGGCGGCGCAAGCGCAGAACCGGGACGATGTGTCGAAAAGACCTACCAAAAAACGGGGGATAGATGGAGAGAAGACCAAATACCCGCAGCTCAATTACGTTGAAGGCAAGCTTCAATCCTCGATTCGGATCGCCGACTTGCAGAACCTCCTACTCTACTGCTTTGCAGATGGCATCGCGCCGCAATGGATCTCAATCAAGCACTCGCCTCGTGTTCGGAAAATCGTGGTTTTGATGGTTCCGGGATTGGAATTGGGTATGTTCGATGGGACAATCTCCTTGCAGGCGCCCAAAGACAACAATGCGAGCACCGACGCCCCGGCGGAGCAGGAGGGCGCCATGGATACAGAGGAAACGGAACAGGACCCCAAACAGAGCGATTTTCAACGGTGGAAACAGGGACTTCCCCCGCAGGATCGATCGAGTCAGTTTAATCCCCGCGCCTTGTCGCGCGACAGCTTGCCAGAGCCGTTGCACCCCTTGGCTGAGTTGTTCCCTCATGTCTGGCCGGTGAAAGCTCCCGGGGATTCCAAATACAACCGAGTACATTCTCCACTCCAGGCTATTTTGTTGTCCGCTCTACCGAAAAATAAGGAAAGCAACGGTACAAAGGGCCCGAAGCAGGCGAAGATGGATAAATCCTTCCAGCCTAAGCGAACGCCTATTACCAAGTTCGTTAGTAGTCTTGAGGACCTCCGCGAAAATGACTACCCTCTCCACCCGGCTCTCTTCGCGACAGAAAGGGAGAAGGCTGAGCTGACCGAACATCGCAAACGACTCGGCCAGTCAGCCGAGGATGGATGGGTAGACACCCACATTAACAGCCTTGAAGAAGGCGAAATCCCCGAAGCAGAGATCCAGCAAGGAAGTATGACGGCTGGGCGGGAGGTCCTGGCCATGGACTGCGAGATGTGCGTCACGGAAGGCGGCAACTCTGAGCTCACGCGCATTAGCTTGATACGCTGGGACGGTGAAGTTGTGCTCGACGAGCTTGTGAAGCCACAGCTACCCGTAATTGACTATTTGACCCGGTTCTCTGGAATCACGAAAGAAAAGCTGGATCCTGTCACGACCACTCTTGCCGACATCCAACAAAAGCTTCTCTCCATCTTCACCCCACGCACGATTATTGTCGGCCACTCCCTGAACTCCGATCTGACTGCCCTCAAACTCACTCATCCTTTCATCGTCGACACCACATTCATCTACCCGCACCCTCGCGGTCCACCGCTGAAATGCAGCTTAAAATGGCTTTGCCAGAAGTATCTCGGCAAGGAGATCCAAAAAGGCCAAACGGGCCACGACTCCATCGAAGACTCCGTCGCCGTGCTTGACCTCGTCAAACAGAAATGTGAGAAAGGCGAACGATGGGGCACCAGCGAGGCTTCAAACGAAAGCATCTTCAAGCGCCTCGCGCGCTCCGCCCGACCCGGAAAGTCCTCTACGGCCAACGACGGCCGCACCGGTGCCGTGGTTGACTGGGGCTGTCCCGAACGCGGCTTTGGATCGCAGGCGACGGTTGCGATCGGGTGCAGCGACGATGAGGAAGTTGCGCGGGGAATCTCTTCTGCTGTGAACGGCGACGCCTCTAACGCCTCTATCCCGAGTGAAGGCGTCGATTTCACCTGGGGACGCATGCGCGAGCTCGAAATGCACCGCGGCTGGTGCAACCGCATGCCCGATCCCAACAAAGCCAATGAATCCACGGCGCTTGTTCCTCTCCCTGCCGATTCGTCGCGAGGTCCGGGTCCGCGGCCCGATAACTTGGAAGGTGGCTGTAATACGGAAGAAACCACCCCCACCGATAACGATGAGTTGCAGGGTCTCTCGGACATGGTGGCGCGCACAACGTCGAACATTCAGCGTGTGTACGATTCCATGCCCCCCTGCACCTTGTTCGTAGTGTATTCAGGCACCGGGGATCCACGCGAAGTCAGCCGGCTGCAGGCCATGCATAAGACGTTCCGCGACGAATACCAGTCCCGGAAGCCGTGGGACGAGTTGACTGTGAAGTGGACGGATACGGAGGAGCAGGAGTTGAAGAAAGCGTGCGAGACAGCTCGAGCAGGATGTGGATTTATGTGTGTAAAATAAATCGATAGAGCCTTGTTCCTTGTGTACTCGGGCACTGGGGACCCGCGCGAAGTCAGCCGTCTGCAGGCCATGCATAAGAAGTTCAGCGACGAGTTGGGTGTGTGTGTGTGTGTGTGTGTCTGAAATAGAGGGATACGAAAAAGCAGATGTTGAATAAAGCATGCGTGAGAGCTTGAGCAGGATGTGGATTTATGTGTGAAATAGATTGATAGAATCTTGTTCCTTCTGTACTCGGGCACCGAGGACCCACACAGGTCTCTCGGGCATGACGGCGCGCACGACCTCAAACATTCAGCGCGTCTACTTTTTCCTACCCCCTTGCACTCATTCGTTGTATACCCGGGCACCGGCAATCCATTCGAAACTGGCCAGCCATCTACAAGTGATGCGCAGGAGGTTCTATGACGAGTATCGGACCCAGAAGTCATGGGATGAGCTAAATATTGAGTGGACAGATGTTGAAGAACAAACTTTGAAAAAAGAATGGACAAAGGCTCGGTTGGGGTGTAATGTGGTCTTATTTGTGTTAAGTAACTCGATAATACTAAGCACTAGGTTGTTTTTCCTGGATGTATGAGGATTTGTTACTTACTACGGAGTTGAGATACTGTATATGTATGTGTACTATTCAATTACACTCTATTCCAGCACCCGTTTTATTACGAGGTCACACTAGAGTCACTAGACTATAGTCATATGTGGTATGTTGTTAAGCAAAATTCAAAGAGATTATAAATTTATACTCTATATCGCTTCTAGTATAGAGATTAAAGTATGGGTATAAAGGCCTATAGGAAAAAACTAAGAAAAAAATCTACAAAGGTCTCTCAGTACACTCGGTACCTATAGAGACAGCGAATGGAAGAAACACAAATAAGAACTTTACTATATAGGTCATAGGCTCATAGCAGTAGTAGTAGTAGTAGTAGTAGTAGTAGTAGTAGTAGTATCGTTTTATGTCCAAGGTACTCCGAGGGGGGACCCGGCCCTAATGACCTCCCATGGGGCACTGGAGATGTGCCAAGCTCAAACTATATACAAAAATCGAGCACACAATTCCAGAAGGCAACATCAAGGCGAAGCGTATGCATAAAGCAAGTTTGTGAGGCCCTGTCCCTCCGTATGGCCGAACTTTACTTCATAGTTCCCTCAAATATACCCCTTCCTAGCACTAGGCATATACCAAGTCGGCTTCGACGTGATCCTCAACATAAAATAAACCATAAAGAGCGACAGACGCGGAATTTTACTAGATGACTAGTATGAGTATAGGGAGGTTGAAAGTGATGAAAATTAGCGAATTTATGATTCACACGAACTTCGATTTCGGTCCATTAATGAGTTTTATTGATGGAATACAATTGAAAGTTAAGTGGCCAAAACGCCTTGCCAAAGTAACATCATTCAGGAAGTTGGACATCAAGTGCAAGCGAAGTCTAAAAATGAAACGGAAAAAACAAAAACAAAAGAAAACAATGACAGAATCAAGAACAGTTAACCAAAACTCCATGTATCGCCAAGCTAAACCCAACGGGATGAATTGGGTCCTAGAATCACTCAGTCCAAACCCCAGTGAGTGGAAACAATGTATGTAGTAAGACAAATCAAGAAGCTGATTGACGTATCATATCGTTGAATCAGGTGAGGTCGATACCTTACTGCTGCGGCTCTGAACCTTCGACTCGTCCAGTAATCCGCTGGTAAAGATCCTGCGTAAAATCCTCCATGCGCTCCCGCCACGACCGGTTGAGCCAATTGCTATAATCCCGATACTGAGACATCTCGCCCCAGCAGTCGCGGCCGAAATCACATCCTGCCATGTTAACAACAAAATCCCTGCCACCTTCCAGGTAGTGCACATCCGGGTCATCGCCATCTCCACATGCCCCTGGGGGAAAGGAGTTGATGAAACGCTGCGGGAGAAAGGCGAATTTGCTGCGGATCCACGGCTGGGTGGTGTACAAGTACTCCAGCGCATCCTGCTCTTTATGCTCCCATTGCATGTGCCTCTGCTCGTACATAACGGGATCCCACCAGGCATCCAGCAGCCGATCCGACCACTGGGAGCGCTTGATAAAGAAAGAACCCAGATTGAATCCGCCACAGTCCTGCGACAACAGGAAATCGATAGAAGATGGGTCTTGGTCCCCGTCAGGCGATCGAGAAACATCGTCCAGGTGTGCGCTCGTCGGGGGGTGGGTGATGTTCAACGGGTTATAGAAATTGATGTCGCGGTATGCGATCTCGTCCAGACGCTTGAAGATATGGTCGGGAAGCGAGTACGAGTACTCCATGATCCATGTGTTAAGATCCAACCACCAAAACCTAAAACCATGACCTGTCAGTGTACTCCCGGTATTCTGCGACAGGTAAACACGTACCACTCGGCGTCCGGGTATTTGCGCATGGTATCGCGGATAAGATCGACCTTTTCCCAGCTTTCGCGCCACTCATGCGAATACCGTTTCTTGGCCAGCATGTTGACGATCTCCAACTCGTACCCCCAGTGACTCGCGTATCTCTTCTTGTTCCAAATGCTGCTGCGTTCGACGGCCCATTCGGTGGCTCCTTTCCACTCCATAACGCCACCTTCCACGTTGGATTCCAGAATCACCACGAATTTGTGTCCTCTGCCGAGTGGCGATCGCCTATAGTGCTCAACAGAATCTACCGCCATGAGTTAGCATGCGCAATGCGCAATCCACACCGAGACCAATCGAGACATACACGTCCAAAAGCACAGATATCCAACGACCACTAGAAGTAGAGCTAGCAGATAGCGCAACCTGAGACGACGCAGCATCGTGCGACCAAATCCATAAGAGCGCCAAGATGCGCCAGACAAGAAGCCTCGACCCCGATCATAGTATACATCCTTCTTCTCAAAATAATCGTCCGGTGATCCAGAGCCTCCCCGAAATCGCGGTAAAGTGGCCGTAAGTTGGCGCTTCGATCGCGAAAAGAATCCGTTGTTCCTCGTCGCAAATGACGGATATCCTCGAACCTCCTCACTTTTCGCTTTGGCGGCAGCCCACGAGATTCCACCCGGACCCAAGGAATTCGGAGACAAAAGCCCACTGCGCGGTGTTGAGCTTCCGCTGCCCGGGGTCAAGCCCGGACTAGACCATCCTGCTCCTGGGTGGGGAGACGGCGATCGCGAGAGGGACATCGGCGGGAAGGAAGGCGACAGGGATGTCGCCGAGACACACACGGACGTGCGGGAGTGACAGATAGATAGCTGTCCAGAGATCTGGGAACTGACGACGGGTGTTTCAGCGAAGCGGAGGCCGCGATGCGGAGAAATTAAAGAGAAACGGGTCGAGAAATGAAAGGACAAAGTAGAAATTAGCGATGGTTACAAGGGGGAAATCAACCCGACGGAATAGGGATAGCAGGAAGCCATGAGAGGTCGCTTGGAGATTAAGACGTTCACCGGTAAGGCAAGTGGTCCAAGTTGTAGCGGAAAAGGGAGAAGGAAAAAAAATTAAGAAAAAAGAGGCCGTCCAAACAGGAGGCCGTGAACGGGGATGGCCGTTTCCGTCGATCGAGGCCAGGGACTAGAAGTGGGACGAACGCTAGGGGAACCGAGAAACATTCAAGTTCAAAGGATCGGAATGAAGAGAAAAGAACTCGAGCAAACCATCTATCTCGTGACAGAGCGATCTACACGGACAAGCTCATCCTTCCGACTCATGGTCCTATCGGAGGACATCAGCGTATTTGAACAGATAGCAGTTAATCAAAAATGAGATTGCGACACAGCCCACATGAGAATTGGTGGGGGTAGAAATGATGACGCTAAGGCGATGGAAATGAATCGCCCCACCGCGCTTGGCGTTCAGGGACTTTTCGCGTTGATGAAATGAATCGAGTAATTTGTTACATGTTTTAGTCTTAGAGATGCTGCAGAAACCCGGCGACCGAACCACTGCGGGCCGACGCCAGTCACGTTGGCAGCGGATACCCGAAATATGAGGCATCTCCATGTCCCTAAATCCTAAATATGATCATAGTGATAACTATATATTGTCGCTGACTGTTGGTATCAAATTTATGCTATGTGTCTTTTCTGTTCTTTTCTCAGACTTCTCGGTTTTTATCTCGTTAACAATAATCTCATCGCCATGATGTCGTATGTATCCTCTAGAGAACCCGTCATGTAGTACAAAACTCCAAAGTCCAGGAGCAGAGATGCAGAGAAAAACACATTCGTAACCCAAAAACCACCCACCCGAGATACATCCACAGTAATAAAACAATAATGTCGTACGTCGTCGTCATACGTCACCTTCGATCGGCTACTTCTTTTCATTGCGGTCTTTTCTGCCCGGTTGCTGATTCGTGGTTGCTTCCTTCGGCATCAGGACCTTGCGCACGGTAAACCCCTTTTCGTCGTCGGGCCGACGACAAGCGCTGTCGCCGTGGTAGAATTCACATTCGAATCTCAGAAACTTGTTGCGGTGCTGATAGATGGTAATCACATCTCCCGTGTACAGCTTGCCAAAATTGAACCCCTCTCGGCCGCTGTTCCCCTCCGATCCCCGACGGAGCTCCGTGCCGTTCACCCAGATACATTTGCGGGTCTTGGTTGAAAGGATCGCCATGACGTTAGGGATGGTCGTCCAAGCTTTTCCGGTGGCGATTTGGTTCTCAATGGCCGGAGCCCAGAATGTGACTTCCAAGGCGTAGGCAGGGATCCTCGTGTCCATGGGGTCTGGATGACAGACCGTGGCTTGGGGCCCACGGCCCCAGGAAGTCATTCGATCTTCCAGTCGGATCGTTAAGTCGAAGATCGAACCCGGCAGACTCGTGAGTTTTCCTAGGAGAGGTCGCTCCTGGTGCGGCTGGATAATCACACGAGGGATGCCGGTTAATGCATGTTCGGGGATGGGCTCAGAGAAAGGATCGCGATCTTTTCGGTCAGGCAAGTCAGGCAATTGTTGTCCGGTTTGTGCATCTATTGTATTGGTCAATTCGATGTCGAAAATGTCATCCGAGGCTGGCTGGGATCCGCCAGGGCTGCCCTTGGTGTTCTGTGCGATGGTTTCGGGACTTGAACGCTCACTAGCCGTGTCAGGGATGGGCAGTTCAATTCGCCGGCTGAATTTAGACGCCTTGGGGGTATCGTCGCCCGCATCAGCCAGTCCAGGTGCCTCTGGGGCGTCATTGGCAATGACCCAGTTACTGGCTGGCTGAGCCGGTGCCCCGACGGCCGGGGGACGGTTGGTTGACGTTCCAGGGTGCCACGTGGAATTCATGTTCAGCTGCCCAACGAGATTCTCAGCTCCCATCAAGCTTGGTGCGGATCCGACAATGGGGTTATCCGGGAGGGATAGGATGGAGTTGAGGCTCCTACCATCGCTAATTATCGACTCACCGGCTGAAGAAATAAAATCATGGATGCTGAAGTTGTCGTCGCCTTCGAAATCGGCTGAGTCAGCTCCCAATGCATGAGAGCTCTGCAGTGCAGAACGGTTTATCTCCCCAAACAGAAGACGAGGGGTGGTGTCGTTCCCGGCCTGAGGCTCCTTGACGCTTTCGATGTTTGGGAGAGATGGATAATGGACAGCCGTCGGAGGCTCTTCGATTCTCGGCCGCTTTGATTGCGCCAGATCGCCATCTTCCTCGAAATCTTCCGCATCCTCGTCGTGGATAGAGAGTTGCGACGCGTCTAACTCGTCTTCCAAATCTTCACCGATGTCAGACAACATCTCGGCGCCGCTGTACTGGCCATCATCATCTTCATATTCGTCCACGTCCGGAACATCTGCAATCCACCTGTGCTGAAAGCATTCCCGCTCTTTTGGGCGTTCCTGAGGATTGCGGTTCAGGAGCCGGGCAACGAAATCGACACCAGCTACTGACACGTCTTCCTTGAGCAGTAGATCAAAGTCGGCTTCGGAGGTCATGATATTTCGCAGCATTTGAGCTCCTCTGTCATCGCCTCGTCCAATGTAGGGGGGAGTTCCGGCAAGCACATGGTAGAGAACGGCACCGAAAGACCACGTGTCGACGGACTGGTCATAGGGAGATGTTTTCGGAGGTCTGCCAATTTGTTAGATTTCATTCGGAAATATTGAGTGAACAAACACTCACGGGTCACCTAGTCTGCGTCTTTTCCGGACCTCACCACGGCGATAGTGTTCGTACTCCGGGTAAACCTCAGGAGCGCAGTAGAGCAAGGTACCACAGAAGGTTTTAAGAAAAGTTTCTTCTTGGACTACCTTCGAGAGGCCAAAATCCGACAACTTTACCCTTAGCGGATCTAGAGACGAGATCAAAATGTTGTCGGGCTTAATATCTCTATGCGTAATTTTTCGCTTGTGGAGATATTGCAGCGCGTGAAGCATTTGGCGAGCGATGACCTTGACCATGTCCTCGGGGATTTTGCCACTGGATTGAAGGTAGGTAGAGAGCTCCCCACCAGGAACATACTCCATAATGATATAGATCCATCTGTCATGCTCATGGTGATCGATATATTGTACAATGTTGGGCTTGTTGGGTCAGGCCGTTAGTCACACACTCAACCAGAGAAAATATGGCTCATAAAACACTCACATGTTTGAGATCTTTCATGATCTTCATCTCATTATCAACTTTGTGATCAAGGATACCATTCTTCATGAACCGACGCTTATCGAGTTCCTTCGCCGCGTACACAGCTCCATGTTGTTTCGTGGCGAGTTTGTAAACTGTTGCGAAAGCCCCTTTGCCGATTTGACCAGTAACGTTGTACATTGACCCACCCGACCAGTGCATCCCAAACGTATTGGAGCCAGAAGCCCATTGCAGGACGGGCTGGACTGAAGTTTGTCGAGGCTTCGCCGCCACGACGCCTGTTTGGTGTTTTTGGATTCGCTCAAAGTAGCGGAGCAGATTCTCCGTGTACTGCATGGCAAACCCTTCCCTAGACGGCAAGCGGACCACGAACCTAACCTCCTCGGAAGCTTGATCGCCATTCATAACTTGAATGACAGAGCCGTTGGTCAGCATGCGGCTGTTGTCCTTTTGGCTCTTTCGAAGGCGGCAGTTGTCGACAATCGTACCGTTTGTCGAAAGATCCTCGAGCATGAGGATCCCATTCTCCGTGAGGTGAACGCGAAAGTGCAGGTTCGAGATTCGCTTCGAGTTGGGGTCGGCAGCAAGCAAAAGGTCGCAGCGAGCCCTGTTTCGTCCAAAAACAAATCCTTGAGATGGGTCACGAACGTTCGACGATAGTCTGAGGGCAATGTCGAAGGTCGCGATGTCCACAGTCTCGTATTCGAGCTCCTCTTTCTGTAGGATATGCTGGGGGCAAATATCGGCAGTGGCTGCTACTGCCTGGTGGGCTGCAGGCGAGCTGGGATGCAAGATACAGACCGTGTCTGACAAGTCTTGTTCATGTAGGCCCGAATTGTTGTAGCCCATGCGACGAGGGTCCGTGCATGGCTGGGTGGATTCTTGGGTAGCCTCCATTGGGGATGAGCAACGACGGAATGAACCGATCAATAAAGTATCTACCCTCACAAACAAGAGACAATATAATAGATAGCAGTAAGAAGCGTGTCTCTGTATGCCTGACAGAGTGCTGATTGAAGAGATATGAAAAGGCAAGGAAATGGCTGAATAATCAACGCGATCGTCAAGCTGTCTCCATGTCACGTATGAGCCTGTGCGACGGTCAGTTGTCTTACCATGGTACCTAGCCAGCACCCGTTACAGGAGCAGATGGCAGCGTTACCTTTGAATAAAGATCGATAAAGATGGCAAAACCAACTGCAGTCTGCAGCAGCCAAGTGGGCGGCTTGCCGGACGCCTAGTAGTGAATACTCGACGAGGAATTCGCTTAAGTGCAAGTGCTATAGCCCAAAGGAGTAAAAGGTTTATATTAAGCCAAAGAGCCAGCCCAAGAATCGTCAAAAGGAAAGAAAATTTCCAATGCGAGAGTCCTATATGTTGCGACTTCGAGTACAATCAGGATTGTAAAAGTACACTCGACGGCCGGACCACCCCTACTTCTGATGGCCAACCCTTATTCAAAACATATACGGCACGTGGTATCATGGGACGAGACTATCGAAACAAGGAGCGACAAAAGGAAAGGAGCTTTGGCCTAACGAGGGTTGAGATAATAGCTATGTCTGCAGGGATCGAGTTGATGGTTAGTTGAGCTCGTGGATAAACAGAGAGAGCACGGGGAGCTGGAACTCACACAGTTGGCGAACTCCCCATCAACCATCCACTGCACAATCAGGGGATACAATTGCTGCAATAGGACCTGTTTGACGGGGGAAGCCGGCAACGGTGGACGGGTTCGAGAGACGGATAGTCTGGAGGGATGCGTCGTCCGAGAAACAAGCAGCGAGGCTGAAGTCCCGCGTTATTAATTTGGAGGTCGGCTGGCAGCCTCAGGCAGCAGGAGCAAGGCACCGACGTCCTTCATGCCTGAGGCTTCAGGCTCCAATGCGCGCCCTGCCGGGACTTGGGCCAATGAGCGCACGATCCCGTCGGGAACAAACGGCAGCCTTCCATGGATACAGAAAGGGATGGAAAGCTTCAGCTGATAACTTAATGTGACACAAGTTTAATTAACTGGTTGGAGCTTTCTCAATGGAGAACTCGTATCACGTATCGGGCACGTTTCAAAGCCTCACAGGGTGTGACCATATGTTATTTACAGGGTAACCACCAGTCAGACAAGGACTGATACTCCGTACAACTAATTTACTTACTTCCATATGGCTTACTCTGGTCGGTGCTACGCTGGAACTGCCCACTCTTAGCTGCATCAAATGCTTGTCCCAGCCGCGAAATCGCTTCCTCGGATACCTCTGGTATGAGTCAGAGTAAGCCAGGCGGTTCCGCAAGGGTGGTAGATGACGGGGCAACTTACGGTAGTGAACGACGATTCGACCCCCTAGCAATTGCAGTCCCTTCTCTTTGCCAATGTCCGCCAAATCATTGGGACCTAACCCGGACGACTCAAGGTCTAACCAGACCATGTTGGTCTCTACGGGGAGCGATAGCTTGCCCCCGCGGCTGGTCCACATCTCGGCTACTCTTTTGGCGTTGACGTGCGTTGCTCGGAGTTTTCCTTCCTTCCCGTTGGGATCGGGTCCAAATGTCTCCTCTACAGCCACTCGGGCGGCTGCAGCGAGTACCCCGGCCTGTCGGACACCTCCACCAATGGATTTGCGAAACCATCGAGCTTTCTTGATAAATTGTTTAGATCCCACAATAATGCTGCCAATAGGCGCGCCGAGTCCCTTCGAGAAGCACAGGCTAACGCTGTCAAAGAGACCGGCGTACTCTGGTAAGCTCCCAGCCCCAGATACTACAGCTTCCCATAGTCTGGCTCCGTCTAGATGCACCTTGATGTCGTTCGCATGGGCCCAGTTTACAATCCGACGCGCTTCGTCCAGGGGCATGATCATGCCGTCCAGGGTATTCTCCAAGCTAATGAGCTTTGTGGGACAGTGGTGGATGTCGTCGTCAAGTACTGCGTATTTCTGAACGTCTTCGAGGGTCAGGTAGGTGCCATTCTTGGGAATGATTGGCTGAACCATGGCGCCAGTCAGAGAGCTGACACCGCCGGCCTCGTAATTGACAATGTGGGAGCGTTGGTCACATATCACGGCGTAGGGGGGTTGTACCAGATGGGTTCGGATCGCAACCTGGTTACCCATCGTTCCTGACATGACCAGCAGGGCGTCTTCATGATTCGTTCGCTTGGCCAGGTAGGATTGTAGATCAATTGTTACGGGGTCTTCGTTGAAAACATCGTCCAGGAGAGTCGTCTGGCAAATGGCTTCTAGCATTGAGGGAGTGGGTTTCGTCATTGTGTCGCCTTGTTTCCCGCCGCATCTCAGTATCATTGGCGAAACAGATAGATTATTGGGATGACCCAATGCTAGTGTAACTCACTCCTCAAATCAAACTCGGCAGCACCGGCCCCGTGCCAGGTGCTAGGATTGGCATTCGTGGATACATGCGCCATAATGATGTTTGGGGCGTATCTGAGTCTTCGGAGGCAAGAAGTTGGCCGGGATAGAGGCAAAGGCCGGAGGAGGGTACGAAAAGAGGAATTCATTAAGCGACCAGTTCGAGTGCCTCCAGGACCAGGAAGAGAGGAATAGGATTGACTGATGAGGAGAGATAAGCCCAGCTAATGCGTTCCTGCGGGGTAAAGCCCCGATTTCCGAGAACGCTAGTCTAGACCGGGTAAGGTCGGAATGTCATAGTCGGAGAACTCCCCGATCAACGATCCAAGGCATCATCCCACATAGATGTGCAGATTATGGAGGAAGGTCTTTGTCTCGATGCAGGCCTTGACGTGTTCGATCTGAAAAGCTTACGGGGATGTGCAACATACCCTCGTCCATGGCAGCGGTCCAGTCCGTTGAATCGGCCTCATTGATCGAATTTTGATCGCACGACATCATATGGCACCTTATAAACGCCACCAAGTGAATGCAGGGCTTAGTTTCTGAAGGCTACGTTTGAAAGAGACTCTTAATCATTATTAGCCACCGATGCGATGGCAGATCTTGTGACCACGGTGGAGGCTGTGAGCTACGGAGTCTTCAACGTAGGTGGCCACGGGCGAGAACTAGGGCTGAACCAAACAGAGTGCCTGAGCCCTGAGGCGGCAAGTCGGCAGAGGCACGCCAGGCCTTGCCGAGCGCGGGTCCCTCTCGACACGGGGTGACGGAGCAGGGCGAAGGAGGCACGAATGACGAAAGCAAAACGCGCTGCGACCAGCGTGTCTCCGTCGGCCGCTGAGTCAGCAGTCGAGATCCCTCTGGACTTTTGCGGGCGCCGTTGAAGCCTTGACCTCATCTCTTATCCCGTACATATCGCTGGTGGCGCCTTGCAGAACGATCACTGAACAAGAGTCCTCTCGTGGGGTTGCTGACCCTTCCCACCCAGGATGGATCTCTCCAAACTCACCCGTCCCGCCATCCTCTGCCAGTGTTCTCGTTGTTCGAGTTCGCTGGCCGCCCTGGAGAACGAATGGGCGAAATTGTCGAATTCCTATTCCGTTGCGGCTGGATGGCTGAGCGTCGAACTGCACCGCATCTCCATTTCCTCGGAGAAAAAGCAGGTCCCGCAGTCGTCAGACTTGAAAATTTTGCGGGGCCGGATCCTGCAAGAAGTTTCCTGTAAACTCTGCCAGCAAAAGTTGGGTGTATTGTGCGCGCTGGACAATGGGTGAGTGAAAGCGAAGCGGAAATCCTTTTTATTTGTGTTTTTCGCATGCTAATGAATCAACCCGTAGCCCCAATGTTTTTTGGAAGCTATCCAAGGTCTCATTTAGGGAAATCGTGACAATGCGCACGGTAGAACCTTCCTTCAAGGAGGGCGCTCTCGATCGTCTGATGAATGCGACACCCAAAGAGCCGGCAAAAAGAGACCGAACGTCCATCCAGCCTGGAGCGCTGGTACCGGCCGGTACAAACGAAATCGATCCTTACAATGCCTCCGTGGGACAACAGATTCAGTATCAGGGTGTCAGCATCGACAACATCTCTAGCTCCGTCAATAACCTCCACGATACCATGTCCGAACTGAAACATGCTTTCACGGCCCTTCGCATCGAGCTCAATGGCCCGGGACAATTTCGTGAAATGGGCAACCCTTCTAGCCACGACTTCAATATGATCACGACGGTTTTACGCGAGCTTAAGTTTAAGTCGGACGAAATCGAAAAGTTAAACCTGGAAATCGAGGCGCTAAAAATGAAGAACCGATATATGGAAGAACAGGCGGGCAGAGTGCCAGCGCCTTTGCCACAAATCGACGAAGCGATCTCACAAGTGCGCAGCCCAGGTCTACTCCATGGAAGCAGAAAGCGCCCATTGCCGCACTATTTCGAGAGTGGTGGTCGAACCCATCCAATCGCAGACTCTTTCGACGATGACGACGACGACGACGACAATGTTAGCATCGGCGATTTTTTGGCTGAGCCAAGTATTCCACCAGTGAAAATCCCTCTCAAGGAAGCTGAATATACGCCGGCCGCGCGCACACCCCTCGAATCTACCTCTACCGATTCTCCGAATCTTCGGATCGAAGTCTCACAACAACCACGAGATCCGGCTTCACACCCCGAGACACCTACTATCTCCAGAAACACACAACAGCAGGCAGTGACAAAGCGGCCTCGCGTAGCTCAGTCTACGGAGAGACCTGCATCTAGCGGAACTGCCGCCGAGAAAAGGAAGGCGGTTGGTCGTCCGCGCAAGTCCATCAGCCAGGCGTCAAACTTAGACTTTTCTGGAACCCCTAAACCCACACATTTGTCTGAACAGAACGGCAATGCCACTGGCAGCAATCAGATGGAAAATCCACCCTCGAATCAAACCCCCAGCGAGCCCTCCAGTGCCAAGGAAAACCGACCTGGCAGGTCACGCAGCTTACGCAGTCGGTCTCGCCCTCCATCAATGGCCTCGAGCAACCGAAACGGCCAAACGGAGAGTAACGATGTGCCAGAGATGGCACAAACACCCAGCGGCCTGGAGACTAGACAGCAGAACGGGTCTGAAAAGAAATCTTCATCGGCGAGGTCAAACGGTACTCGCACCAACGGCGAAAACCTACTTGATTCTGAGAAACGCAAAGCACAGGTTGCTACGCGAGACGCGATGGCACGATTAGCCATGCAGCGCGAAGAGGCCATGGAAACTGAGGAAGCTAGGTGACGTTTTGAAATAGACTGCACTTCTCTCAATGTATTATTGACTCTTTTATTTTCTTTTGACTTTCGCATCTTTTTCGACTTCAAACTTTTACCTTCACTTTTTTTCTCTCTTGTGTGTGCATGCCCTTCTCTTCATCTTGTGCCTGTTTCCACTGGGTTATTTGGGATGCATCTATTTGGAAAGGCACAATTTCCTCGACATTTGTTTTGTTTTCCTCTGTCTTATTTGATCTGGAATACTCTGGGCCGGTTTTCATCCGATTTTGAATCTCATATGGGGCGTTTGCATATTCATCAAAACAATAAATAGGTATATCATTGACAAAAGATAGAAAAGGAACTTGGGCTAGTAAATGAAAGCCAATATTCACCATTATTCACCATTGATCCGCCAATAGACAATGATCAAGTGTATGGGCAAAACTATATTTAATATGACGGTTTCTCTAGAGGATAGTTACCTGAAGCCAGCCCACGTGAGAGCTGACTAAGTCACAAAACCAAAAACTGCACCTCTGGTCTCCCCTTATACCCGTAGTCCGACCGCCCCAAGACTACACCAATCACAGCGGTCCAATTCCACCTTAACCTCCGGACTCCGACTGGACGACATCAGAAACCACAGCTCCGACTTGATTTCTCCTTCACCACCAGGTCTACCTCGAGCCTAGTCAACCAATTCTCCGCCGCCCGTCCGCTGCGCAACAAAAAAACACCCCAGGCAAAACCGAAAAACCAACAGACAAAATGCCCACCCCCGAATCCGCCTCCTTCCTGGCCAAAAAGCCCACGGTGCCCCCGACCTACGACGGCGTCGACTACGAGGACAGCAGCGCGGTCCACAACGCACGGGACGCGATCATTCGTGAGCAATGGGTGCGCAGCATGATGTCTCGTCTTGTGGGCGAGGAATTGGGCAAGTGTTATGCGCGCGAGGGCGTCAATCATCTTGAGAAGTGTGGGGTTTTGAGGGGTGAGTTTTTTCTGATCTTCTTTTCCTTTCTCCGGGTTCTGTGATCTTTCTTGTGAATTGCCATTTTGGGGAAAGGGGTTGGGTCTTGAGGAGGGTGGGAGCAGATATATGAGGGAGAGTGTGTGAAGGGGATTGATTGATTGACTGGTTGATGTTTGGGATGTTCGGTTTCTTTCGCAACCGGTTCCGACTCCCTCTTTGGTTGCGCAAGTGCGGAGAAAGAGGGAGGATAAGGAACCGGGCATAGACGAAGAAGGAGAAGAGGTAGATAGACCGATCGATCAATGGCCCGGAATAGATCGGGAAGGCATACGTCAAATCATGAAACCACACCAGGAAGATCAAGCTAACGCAATCCTCCTTTCTTATCAGAAAAATACTTCGAACTCCTCGGCGAGCGCAAGATCAAGGGTTACTTGTTCCAGGAGAAGAACTACTTCTCGAACGAGAAGTCTGCCTAGAACCGTCAACTACCACCGAATCATAAGAAATCAACAAAAAAAAAAACACTTTTTCTCCAAATATATCTATCTCTCTTGCATTTGAGATCGGATCGAGCCTGGACTGGATTTAGAGAATCGACATGACTTGAACTTGAACTTGATTTTTACTTTTCTTACATTTTAACATTTTTTCTCTGTTTTGTTATATGGGTTGCTCTGTGGGTATATCTATCGATTGATTGTGTTTTTAGCTTGAATCGATTGTGAATTTCTCTTCCATCTTTTGGTTTAGTATCTCCTTCTGGGGGTTCAGGGGAGGGTGGTTAAGGCTGGATAGATTGATCTGGGTGGATTGGTGAGGGAGGGTAACTATGGCATTGTGTGGGTATCAAGAGATCAATTAATGGTCAATAGAAAGAATGAAAAGAAAAGAAAATCAATCGTCGCCGTCGTCGCCTTCGCCCACAGAGACCTTCTTCAAAGACAAGTCTCGCTTCAAGTCTTGAATTCGTTTGGCCAGCTTGCTCTTCAGGATGTGATTCTGCATCTTCTCCCATTTCGCCGTCTCGGTACGGATTAGGCTCTCCAATTCGGTGATTTCCTCGCGTTGCTGTTGCATCTGTCGTTGTCGCTCCAGCTGCTCGTCGTCCAATTCATCCTCCGGCTCCTCGCCGTCCTCGCCGTCCGACACGTCGCTCTCGTCGCCAGACGTATCGGCCGCAGGGGTTGACGGTTTGGTCGCTGTAGGTGTACCGGCTTGATAAACCGCGCCTTCGCTGCCCGGTGCCACGGCTTCGGCGGCCGCTGCCACTGCAGTTTCGCCGTCGGCACCTGCGGCCAAGGCAGCCTCCATCTCGGCAACGAGGGTATCCTCCAGATCTTCGAAAGACGGGGCTGCCTCCATCGTCTCTTCCAGTTCTCCTTCGGCATCTTGCTCATCGTCGTATTCATCGTAGTCATCATAGTCGCCGCTCTGCACCAGTCCCTCGGCGCGGTTGAGAGACGCGCTGTCAATTAATTCGTAACGAACCGCCGACGCCGAGGCATCGTCCTGAGCGATCAGCTCCTCGACCGCCTTCTCGACCTGCTCGATAGTTCGAGTGCTGGTGCGCTCGCGGAAACGGCGCTTCCGCACCCACCGCATGGGCGGAGCCAGCCCGTGGGGATACTGCAGGTTCTTGCCTTCGACGTGTTCGATCTCGCTGGGTAGCGGATAATCCATGGCCTCCGCATCGGTGGCAATAGGACCAAGAACCAACAGCATCTGACAGATATCGGCCGATTTGTACCATCCCCGACGATCCCAACTCTTCATGCCCTCCGAGACAGACGGCAAGTCCACCAAGGACGCCGCATACTGTTTGTCTCGAATCTTGATGACGGCCCGCCTGCCATCGCGAGTGAGAGGCTTGAACGAGAATTCCCCCTGGTCAAAACGTCGCTCTTGAATCAACTTCTGTAGGTAATCACAATCATCGCCCGGGGGCATGCGCAGGATGAACTGTTCTTCGATGGAAGGATCGGCTTCCCCGTCCGAAGCTTCGGAGTCGTAGCCTACTCCCACCGGCCTCGTAGGTTTCAGGCTCTTATGCTTGATTCGGATCGACTGTATGCCCGGTTTCTTGGACGGGTTCAATTTCAGACGCTTGGGACCGGCTTGTTGCTCCGCGGCGACCGTGGCGGCGGCTGCAGCCACCGCTTCTTTCACGACGGGTCCCTCGGCGGGTCGTTTCTTGGACGGCTTCTTCTTTTTGGGTTTTTCCTCCTCGGCGGGTTCGGTAGGCTTTCGAGCGATCTTTAGAGTGAGCTTGCGTTGAGGCGTGTCGGATGGAGCGGGCGTTGAGGGACCGGCAGGAGTTGGAGGCGCCGGAGCGGGCGCATTCTGAGCTGCTTCCTCCGGCGCCTTCTTCTTGCCGAAGGTGAGTTTGAGCGCGGGACGACCTTCCATGATAAAGATCGACTATGAAGCTGAAAGTATGAGGAACTGGGAGATCGGGTTTCTCCCAGCTGAAGTTAAGAGGGGAAGGGAGGATGACAAGTGAATGAAGAAGCGGAAGAAGTGAAGAGAAGCGGAAGGCGGAAAGGCGGAGACGAAGACCTTTTGCTTTCTTCCTCCGACAACAACAATTGCTACTCTTTCGCTCTCATCCATTGCATTCTTTTTGCTTATACTTTCATCTCTCCTGTATCATCTCTGAAACCCCATTACTATTTGATTTTCTGTCGCACAATCTCCAACAAGCGAAGAGTCTATCACAAAAGCCGACTTCTCGCCCAGGATGTCCGGAGCAAATCTACACAACGCCCTCCTTCGTCCGCCCATCATTCAAATCCTACGAGCTGCCGGCTTCCACGCCACGCGACCATCCGTTATTGACACCATCGCCGACCTCACAGCCCGCTACATGATGATCCTTGCCTCCTCTGCGACTGCGCACGCTGCTAACGCCCACCCCGACAACCCCATGCCCGTTCTCGAAGACATCTACCAAGCGTTGCAGGACGCCGGCGCCCTGCGACCCCAGATGCGAGATTGGGAAGAAGAGTGGGCAAACGAGGAAGACAACCGCGGCCTGGAGGGTTTTCTCTCGTGGTTCACAGGCCCCGCCAACCGGGAGATTCGACGAATTGCGGGTTTCGTGCCGAGTGAAGGCGACGTGGTCGATGCCGAATCTCTAGAGAAGGAAGACTACCTGACGGCGTTAAAGAAGAAGCATAGCAAGACGGGCGAGGAGTCGCGATATGCCGGGACGGTGCTTGGGAAGAACGCCGAGGAACATCCCGTCGTGATCGAAGGTGGCGCGCCCAGTATTCAGGAATGGGGCACGCAGGTCCGGTCGCGAGCGCCTTATTTCACGGACAGCGATTCTTCGGCTGTCAGTAGTGCGCCGAGCAATCTCTCGGATGCGGAGGGGATGGATGTGTGATGGATGAACGGTTTTGGAGGACGGAGTTGAATAGAACAGCTCAACTCCTTTTTCGACAAGACGATCGATCATATCTTACAGCCGTGAGAGAATTGACGCGCTACGATTCCCCGTATTGTTTCTTCGGCTGACCTTCTCTCCCTACGGTTTGAGATGTCTCGATGTGAATAGGGACGGCTGGAAACCCATCGATTATTCCCAGCGCTCACACCCACTTCGGCTTCGACTTGACAGTACCTGCCCATCTGGAGGGTGGCAGGTTAGATGACCGGTCCATGGAACATCCACTCCCATTGAATCCAGCCACATTGCCGGGAATGTAGGCAATTGACCGGTGGAGAGTTGGGTGCAAGACCAGGGTCATCCACTATTTGGACTAGCATAATTGCAGATATGTCACAGAATCACGCTAGGAGGAGACCAATTAGGGTGACCCAAGCTCATCTATGTACCTATTCGCGATTTACAGAAGAGAGCAAAACAAGAATTGAGGTGGTGATCCTCCTAATTTCCTCAGAATCCCACTTGCTGTAGAGCGTAAAACTTCTCCGCTTCCGAACGTCTTGGCTGCGGTGACATCAACTTCCTCCCCTCCTGATCCTCTACCGTCTTTCTCTCCATCATCACCACCGCCATTCACCATGGTCTACGCTTTCACCCTCCCCACCACCTCCCACCTCTCTTTCCAAACGTTCATTTCCTCCAGCACTCATCCGTCACTCCCTCAATCCGCCTCGACCGCCCGCCATGCCCTGCGCGCCGCCCTCAAGGCCCATAAACGCCTACCCCGCGGTACGCAACGAGACTCGCATCTCTCGGCCATCATAACCACCGCGTCCGACTACCTGCCCTATCTCCAGGCCATCTCCACCGGCCTCTCCGGCTCCTCTTCCTCTCCATCTTCCTCTTCTCCAATCGCCATCACCCAACACTCCGACATCGAATCCGAATGGCGCGCCACGCTCTCCTCCCCCGCCGTCCTCCACTCCCTGCGCTCTAAAGCCTCTCGCTCCTCCACCTCCTCCGGCCGCGTGCGCCTTCCTGGTATCGATGCCGAAATCGCCTTCGTCCTCACCACCCTCGCCTACGCCCTGTCCAACCTCGCCCACTCCACCGTCACCCGCGCCCTCTACGCCGCGACGACCCCGACCCCCGCACAACGCACCACCGCCATCCAAACCGCCACAAAGCACCTCCTCCAGGCCTCGGCCATCCACGCATCCCTCGCCTCGCAGACGAACCGCGCCTTCCTCCTCACCGTCCCGGACCTTGACCCCGCCACACAATCCGCCCTCTCTGCCCTCGTCCTCGCAGAGGCCACCCTCCTCGCCGTCCTCAAAGATGACTCCTACGTCGCGGCGTGCATCCAGGCCCGCAACCCCAGCGATAAGGAGTGGATGGTTCGCGCGCCTGAGATCCCCAAGGTGCGTGCGCACTTGTTTGCTAGGCTGTGTATCCGTGCCGCGGAGTATGCGGAGCAAGCCGGTGCCGGGATGGGTGCTGTTGGCGGGGGCGAGACGCGGGGTCGCGCGGGCGGTCTAGATGATGAGGTGCTCCGGTATGTGAGGGTTCTGGGGCGTGTGGCGAGGGCGCGCGCGTGTCGGTTCTTTGGGGTTGATGCGGAGCTGGCGGGGAAGATTGGAGAGGGGATTGCGTGGTTGAGGGCGGCGAGGGGCGCGTTGGCGTTGGGGGTCGGGAATGGTGGTGGGGAGAGTCAGGATGGAGGAGCTGCTGCAGGAGGAGAAGGGGGCAAGGGTCGGGGATTGTCGAAGTTGAAGCAGGGATGGATGGAGAGGCGGGAGGAGAGGCGCATGGAGAAGGACGCTGGGGGGAGGAGCGTCGAGAAGGTCGAGAAGGGAGATCTTGGACCCGGGGATCATGCGGGCAGGGAGGAGGAGGGGAGAGTGATTGAGATGTTGGAGGTGAAGTGGGTAAGGATGAATGATACGGTATGTCCTTTTTGGGCCAGCATGGACTAGTTGCCATGCTATATAGATTGGGATGGGATGATATACTAACACCTTCGCAGATCAACACGCAATTGATCCCTCCCTCGGCAGATCTGCTGGCCAATTTGCCCTCCGGAAGAGATATCCACTCCGCGCCGGTTCCGTACAAGCTTCCATCGCTGGATGAAGATCGGCTGGCCGGGATGCGTGCGCCCCCAGCAGAAGACGACTTTGCGCCTGGCAGCGACGTCGACGACAGCGAGGAGGACTCTCGCCGTGAGAACCTTCATTCGTACACGCCGGGAGGGTTGCCAGAGCGGAGCGAAAAGACCAGTACTTACTACTGATATTGACATTGAGACTTGAGACTTGGGACAGTACCCGTTGATATAGCCTGTTGGATATATTTCGTATGTTGGCCCGATGGACTGGACAAGTTGTTCTATTGTTGGATATACATTTGGACATGGATCATTAGAATTGAACATAACAATCGACATGCATAAGTCATATCCTACATTTAGCAAGGTACACTCTGACAGTGATACTCCATTCTCTTCACCTCTCGCATGACAGGATTATAATACAAATATGATACCGATGGCCTGCTCATCTCTACCCCTTCCCTCTCAACGTCTCCTCCCTACCCAACAACTGGATCTCCCGTCGCCTCGTGCACCGCCCCCTTCACATCCAACTCCCTCTCCTCCTCCAACTTCCTCTGCCTCAGTGCCTCCCTCTCTGCCGTCTCCCCAATTGGCTCCGGCGGCGACTGTCCCACCCTCTCCCCAAGCACCCGATCATGCTCCTCCCTCTTCCTCCCCATGTCCGCCGTCAACCCCTTCTCCCCGTACTGCGTATACCCAGGCCCCGGCAGACTCCCCACGGCGCCCGCATGAGCCCCCGCCTGCTCTCTCCTTCCTCCTCCCTTCACCGCCGCCACGATATCGCCTTCCCGAGGCTGCTGCTCCACCCCATACTCCAGATCCACGTCTGGGGCGTTCTGCATCTTCGTGCGCTCTTGTTCATGACGTTTTTGAATCTGTGACAGCGCGGACGGGTTGGAGGGAGAGGACTCTGCTCCGCGGATTATCGGGGGGACGGAGTCGCCGTATCGTCGGCCCTCGTGCAGCTGGCCGTGGTTGTGGAGGGAGGTTCGTTGTTCGACGGGGTTCTGGGTTACTGGGTTTTGGGCGTTGTAGGCGGCTTGTTTGGGGGGTTGGGGTGGTTGGTTGGTGGTGGATGAAGACATTTTTGAATTTGGATTTGGGGGAATTTGGTCGGAATTGAATTGTAATGTTCGGCCTGGTTTGGTTTAGAAGATGTGTAGGTAGTGGGAAAGAAATGGATGGATGAATGGATGATCTATGATATCGAGAGAATGGAGGCCTGATGTCCGCATGACGTCACAGAGATCAGTTCAAGTCCAAGGTCAATGTTCTTCTATGATTTGCCTGGTCTGGTTCTCGAAGTGGATCGGCTATGATAATATGGTAAAGCTTGTTAGAGCTAAGACTGGCGATTATCCGTTGTTTTGCTGAGTTGGTTACTGCTGGTGTTGTTGCTGGGGATAGTATCATATACTCGTAGTCTTGAGGTTGAGGCACAGTGAACTGCGCTTGAATTGGAATGCATGGATGTTCGACAGTTTCATAAGGATGCATGATAGCTTAATTGTACGCAAGTTATCATATCATCGTAGTGTGACATCAAATCCAGAAAATCGCCTAATAGAACCAATCTACACATTACTGGAAGACCAGACAGAGATATATCCCAACCAGCACCCCTAACCCTCAACGCCATCCACCCTGTTGACAAACTCCCCCAAAATCCCATTTACTTCATCCCTCGCCTCCAACTGCAGCCAATGCCCCTTCTTCGAAACGCGCTTGAACGTCAAATCCCGCGCAACCAAGCCCATACTTTCCTCCACGCCCGGAAACTCCAGTCTACTACGCTGCGGACTGATCATGAGCACCGGCATCTCGAGAGTAGGTTCCAGCCCGGCACGCAGTTCGTCTTCTACATTGATATTGCTCACTAGGGCTTGATACCAGTTGAGAGCGAAGCTGTGATTATCTTGCATTATCTGGTGATGTGTGGTTTTTTCCTGTTTGCATTTAGTCATCGTCTCGTTTGGACAGTACCCATGATTGATAGGAGCTAGACCATATTGATATGGACATGGATATGCATACCTCTTCAGTAATCCACGAAGCCAACGGGGCCCGTGAATCACCACACAACCACGCCTCCATGGCCCCCGTCGGACCAAGATGCGAAATCCACAGTTCTGGATCATGGGGGTAGAAAAGCGTGAAGAAGGACTCTCCCTATGATAGAGAGCATCAGCATAAACTCCCTCCTTCCCTCTTTCCATCCTAGAGAAAAAGAAACATACAAACCGATCCAATAACCCCGCAGATTCCTTCCTCGCAAAAAAGCTCAAATACCCAAACCTCTCATACCCCAGCACCTCCCTCGACATGGCATTCACCATATCCAAATCGAATCTCGCCCCGGGGTTCGTATACGGCACATCCAGAAACACGCACGACTTCAACCTCGTGGGATAGTAATCCGCTAAACGTGAAAGTAAGCCACAGCCCATATCGTGGCCCACGGCATGTACTTGATCGAGGCCCTCGTGGTCCAGGATCTCGACGATCTCGGCGGCCATGGAGCGGGCACGGTAGGCGTCGAGCGAGACGGGCTTGCTGGAACCGCCGTAGCCGAGAAGATCGGGGGCAAGGACGCCATGGCCTTGTGAGATGAAGAAGGCAATTTGGTGACGCCAGTCGTAACTGGAGGAGGGGAAGCCGTGGAGGAAGAGGAAAGTGGTTGTTGGGTGGGAAGGGTTCCTTGGGGGATGATGGATATAGGTATATGTATGGGAGGTTGAGAGCGTGAGGGATTTGGAATGCGAGGGAGAGGTTATTGACGTCATTTAGGAGTTGGGACTGGACTGGACTGGACTGGATAGTGTCTGAGATGGTTCATATGTACACCGGAGTAGGTATGTGGTCAGGGTTGAGAGAAACTCATGTTGGGTTTATGTACAAGTTGGATTGGCTGGTGGACGGAGACATTTCGGAGACTTAGCAGGAGAGATGAAAGGCGGTGATCTGGGATATTCTTGCTGGTAAGCGTGATGATGCGGTAGTTCATGAATGAGATGGAGTACTGTATAGGTAGTCTTTGATAAAATTAGCAGTGACTGATGCCTGACAGCTACAGTGAGCATTGTGATTATATTGTGATTTCCCAACCCGTAGGGAAGATAAAAGAAAAAGAACGCCGATTCCAGGAATCGAACCCGGACCTCCTCTCCGCTTCTAAGAGAGACTGCACCACACCGGCTTGTTCATAGTGCGCCCCACTCCGGGCTCTTATCTGCCAATAACAGATGACGTTAGAGTGACTTGGTTCCACAGACTTGTGGGCATAGACCTTCATAGTGATCTATGCACATTCTGACTCAGCTATATATCCCTCTGCATGTGATGCCGCGGTGTCGATGATTACAATTCACGACTTTCTCCAATGCCTCAACCGAGCTCGTATTCTTCGCCCATTCGTGCATTCTCTCTTCTATCGGCTATATCCACGCCCAGCCCAAACTAATAAATAATCCCTCCCCAGCTATCCACCACCAACCCATCAACCACGCCCCATACATTAAGACTTTATATCCGTATCTACTTCGACCTACTCGGCAAACCTCGGCAAACATGACCACCCTGTTCACCGTCCCCATTGCCTCCGGCGGCAGCATCGTCTGTAGTAACCCATCGTCCTCGGAGCAGGAGAAGAACATCTACATCCTGACCTTCACCTCACCCAAGGACAACCGACTCACGCCGGTCTTCATCGAGGCGCTCCTGCTGGCCCTGGATATCGTCGACCACCGATACCCCAAGGGCGTGCTGATCACCACCAGCGGAATTGCCAAGTTCTACAGCAATGGGCTGGACCTGGAGCTGGCGCAATCCACTGAGGGATTCATGGAGAATTACCTGTGGAAGCTTTTCCGACGACTCTTGACGTGACTATCCCCCTGACCTATCTTCCCCTTCGCCATACAGTTGAGACAAACCAGAGAACTAACCAGAACCAGATATCCCATGCCCACAATCAGCCTCCTCAACGGCCACGCCTTCGCGGCCGGCTGCATGCTGTCCATGTACCACGACTACCGAATCCAGAACCCCAGCAAGGGCTTTCTCTGCATCAACGAGATCGAATTCGGCGTACCACTGCAGTCGCCCATGATGTGCATTTTCCGCGAGAAGCTGACCCCGCCGGCGTTCCGGGACTTGGTGCTCGAAGCGAAGCGGTTCACTGGTGCGGGCTCCGTGAATGCCGGCCTGGTGGATGCGCTGGGCGGTTTGGATGAGACCTTAGCGTTTATTCGCGAACGAGGACTGCTGAAGAAGGCGGCGACGGGTATCTATGGGACCCTGAAGGAGGAGATGTATCGGCACTCGTTGGATATTGTGGATGGGCATGAGCGGAACCTGGAGTGGAGGGAGCGGGTCGAGGAGAAGAATGAGAAGGTGGAGAAGGAGGGTTTGAGGGCCGTAGAGGCGTGGGAGAAGCAGAGGGGGTCGAAACTTTGAGATTGACGGTTAGGTAGGAAGTGGATAGGCTTTTCTTGTGTTGGTAGGTATGTGAATGTTTTGGTTGGTGTTAGATTGTGACGGCGGGTTATGTTGAGAACTATATACCTATCATGTTGGAAGATTGTGTTTAATGAGCAGGAAGGGCTAAAGTGTAAGAAACTCCTGGTTAGTGTGTTTATGCCACTGTTAATATGTAAGGATGTAAACGAACACTGCACGTCAACAGGCCTATCGCTACGGCGAAGAAAGCACTTGCCGTTCACAACGTAGATCTTTCCTTCCCAACCAGTAACATTTAAACTCTTCTAGATAAAGGACAAACAAACAGAAATATTCTCTGATCTTATAATATGCTGATATATTCAGCATCTTTTAAAAAAGACCGGCAAATTCTGGGTGTTTACCAATTACTATCAGTACGTCTATACCATACTAGTTATCATTATGCCTGGCCGTTATGACAAATTATTTATGTTTCGCATTCACTCTTCCTCCAGCCGAAAATTGGCTCTTCAGCTGTACGAATTCTTGGGGCGTTCTTTCTTCTATCACTTGATCGTCGATTTCCTGAGTGATTGTCCATCTGAATATCAGCACCACCGACGTTTCATGGAAACGTTGACGAAGAAGGTTAACCGGCGCAAGAAGAAGAAATCTGGGTAAGTGAAATAGTCCGTTTATGGACAGGTCTATGGGAATGGCTTTTTCTCTCTCCAGCTTCAAGTTCGGGAGATCTGGGATATGACTGTGTTTACTTCACATGACTCTCCCCTCCACGTCACTAGACGCCTCACATCATGCCCTCTTCTCAAATTTAATCTTTAAATGAGTACAAGCTAATCGTCTATCAATACTCAGACCACGACCCCCCATGACCCTGCCCCGAGGCCGAAATAACATGAAGCGCACAGCCAATTCCATCGAGAACGACCCCCCTGAGATAGCCGCAACTACTGCCACAGAAACCACACAGCACAATACAGCGAAGCGCAAGGACGCCGGAGCCCGGAAAGAAAGTCCAAACATCAAGACGGACAGGTACGCGATGAAGGACATTAAAGGGGCTCGTGAACCGCTCGAGATCGTTTTTCATCCCCGTCCTCCGGCTCCGTTCAAGATCGGTTATGATGGTGTAAGTTCCCGGAACCCTCCTATCACTGCGATAAAAAAAGACTGCTTACCTTGTAATTGACAAATGTGAAATTCTCCGTTAGACAATCCGCCCTTCTTCGCCCCAGGAGATCATCAGGTACGAGGGTGTGGCTGCCGTGGCTCCTCTCAAGGACGATGCCATCATCGCAATGCTCAAGGAGTTTCACCCGAACGATCCTGCGGCGCAGTCGTATGTCCGCACCCACGAAGCTAAAAAGGCGGGAAGAAGATTCCTGGAGGCGAAGATCGCGGACAGAGAAAATCTTCGGAAACAGGTTGCGCGCAAGATGCGTGACAGGGCCCGTCAGGTGGCGAACTTGGACAACGCGTCGAAGCAGATCGGCCCTTCTCTAGCCCCGCTGCCCAAGGAGGACGAGAAGCAGGACGATGGTAAGAAGGATGAGTTGGTCAGCATGCGGGAGCAGCTGGAGAGAGTCAGTCAGGCCCATGAACGTCTTCAGAAGGCGATCGAAGCTTTCCAGATCAAGTAGGAGGGTGATTTAGCGTTGGTAGATTGGTGTGTGTTGATCCTTTGAAGTCCTTGCGATTACAGGTGATCTCTATGATGTCCTGGTTTTGCAAGTCGTGGCGAATATTCTTCTCTTTCTGGGCTGGATGACCCTGTCACTGATGATGGTAACACCCCCCTTGGCATACGTCCTCGTGTATCTTATGGACTTTGCAGATAGACGAACGCTAACGAGCTATGGCTGGACTGGATTGAGGATCGTTTTCACATGAGACTGTACCATAATTCTAAGGTAGCTTTTCTTTTTGCTCTCCACAATCATACAGTCACAGTCAGAGTTACATCCCGATCCCCTCTTCCAGGATCTCCTCACGTCTTCTTACTCTTGCTGGCACCTTTGACCTTACTAGGCGTTTCCAGCTTGTCGACAAACGGCCGATACGGCGAAGCTAGAACATGCTCCGGCGCTCTCTGCGTATCCTCTCGTCTCGGCTCCCCAGAGAATGGCCGTCGTCGCTGATCCTCATGCATGCGATCCAACGGATCCCCCACGATCTGATACTTGGCCCAATTAACCGGCGGCATGCGCACCACGTTCTGCGGTGTCGGTATCGTCTCGAACTTCACACGCGACCCTCCTTCCTCTCCACCATTAACATCAACACCCTCCCCCTCCTCATCATCCTCATCTCCCCCACCCGTGGGATCAATCCCAAGGAATCCTCCGGCGTCCCTCCTCGCCGACAAACTCCCCGCCGCTAGTTCGCGCGCAAACGCCTCTGGGTCCGCGGCCGCCGCTTTCTTCAACCGTTCGAGCGTCCGCAAGTCTCGTAGACTTTGCTGCTTCTGCATCTGTAAGATGGAGATGGCTGAGCGCAGCGCCGACGCGTCGGGGTTCTCGCTCTCGGAGATCGGGATGGGTGAGGGCTCGGGGATGAATGTGGGTTGTGGGAGCTGGCTCTGCTGTTGCTGATGCAGCTGCTGTGGTGGCGACGGACGAGATGGAGTTGTGAATGCGGGAGGTGGAGGAGGAGCGGAGAAGAGGGTGGAGAGGTCGGCATGATTGTGGTTCTGGTTCTGGTGATGGTTATTCACGTTACTGTGAAGGGCGGGGATGGACGGCGGCGCGATGCGAGTTGTCGGCGAAGGGGAGCGCGCAGGCGGAGGGACGATGGGATGGGATGACGAGGCCGAGAACGGAGCGGAGGATGCGGGGAAGTCGGTGCCGTTGGTGTTGTTGTTGGGGACGGGGGCGAGATGCGATAAGACGGGCGTCACTGGGGAGTAAGGCGGGCGGGGAGGCGTGCCCGGACGATCGGTCGGATTGGTTTGGTCTTCTGGAGACGGCTGCATTGTGGTGTATTTGATGGGTGAAGTTGGGGGAGGATGAAGGAGCAAGAAGGAAGAAGAGGAGAAGGAGAAGGCTGGTGGTTATCGATTGGGGACAATCGGGGACTGCCAAGACGGACGATGACGTCGTTGGTTGGGTTACGAGAGAGTTCTAGATTGGTCGGTGATCCGCGGGAGAGATATTCTGTTTATGTAGTTATGCTTGACAGGAAAGCTATAATTTTTTTTTTTTTTTTTTTTCAATTTATTAGCTACAATCAAGGGAACCTACTTCTAAATTCCTCTACTCTCGGGTCTAGAGAAAGTCATAACAGGGTTGTCATTGCCATGCTGTAAATGTGCTTTATCTGCCCCTGTTGATCCGAACCATGCACATGTGTTTCTAATATGGCAATATCAGCTCTGCTGTAAGTACAGGGTACCTGCTGTACTATAGAGTAGGCTCACTATTTGACATCGTGATGCATGTTTTATAAATCTACAATCTCCTGTCCCAAGAGGATGATTAGATTGCCTTGTATAGGAGGAAGGGTTCATTTCGACATGGATCGTGCTGGACAATAACTTAATATAATTGAAATAATTAGCTGATATTCATCAATAAACTACGATCTTACCTGGTACTTTCCCCGATCATCATGGATTGCAAAGACTTCTTCGCGCTCCGGTTTGTCGGCCGAGTCCTGTGCGTACGCCCATACGTGTCTTGTAGATTGATATCGCCGCCTCGCTCCAGCAGAAAGCACACACATTCAGGGGACTTGGCAAGAACCGCCTAGTGCAACGCCGTTCCTAAAACATTCCCCCGCCAATTGCGAAATGTAGCTGGATCCCACTCAAACTCGTGCTGGTTGATAGGGAAGCCCGCCTCGTCTAAAAGCCATTGTAGGGCCTCCATCCGCCCTTTGTATCTACTTTCAGCAGCCCGTTGAAGGACATTGCTACAAGGGAAGTTAGCCCCGTCGGCGGCAAGCAACTGGAATGTCGATACTGAGGCATAATGACCAGCTTGGCTGGGCACGTCCTGGTACTTGTTCTTGTTTCTCGCGTTAGGAATGGCTCCGTGCTGGAGACACCAGCTCACTCGCGCCTCATTATAGGTCACAAACCTGTCTTGCTATTAGCATTGATGTCTTTTTGCTCCTCCAGGATAACTCACCCTAGCGCCGGACAGAAATTCTCCATGATGGGATCGTTGGTGTTCAATGAATGCATGACCTAGACAGATAGGCGTTGATCGAGTATTTCAGTCGTCGTGGGAGATCCAGAGATGGTCTTTCTGTGTTACACTTTTATCAGCGACCTCGGTCTCCCATCTGACTAGTCGACTTTGCAGTTTGGTGAGGTCCCCGGTTTGGGCGGACAGTAGCATTTCCTCTGTGAGGGTCTGAGGATTTTCGCCTGGGCTAGACATGGTGAAATGATGTGTCCAGTATGTATGTTAAATTGGGATGTAGGGAGAGGACCGAGTGTCAACTAATGAAGGGTAAGCGCTAGGTCTGTTCCCGAGTAATAATAATAAGGATGTGTTATAAGTAAACTACCTGCTCGAGATTCAAAAATACAGTTGCACATACTCAGGTCCACTGGTACCTATAGAACAACAACAATGACGTATAAAATGTAAGATTCTCAAACCACACCAAATTGCCACCAACACAACCACGTTGCAGATCTAGATCTCCCAAGCCACCCGATCAATCATTATGGATCAACCTTAATATATGCAATAAAAGACGATCTGTTAAATCCACTTCGATATCGACTGATTGGTCGTGAATGATGGCCTGATCTGGTGGCCTGATCGATGCCCGCCGCCTCTCACCGCCTTGTCCCAAAAGAAAGAAAAGAAAAAAAACTCCGCGTCGCAAAAGCTCCCCGATCGAGTTTCTGTTTCGTTTCTCCATCTCAATCCCTCCCACACCCGGCAGAATGAAGCGCAAGACGGATAACAAAGATCCCCAGGGCGCCAATGGCCAGCCCGACTCCAAGAAGCGTGCCTTGTCCAGCGAGGAAGCCGTCGCTCGATTCCGCGACGGCCTCTTCGAACCCTCCGTGCAGGAGAACTATACCAAGGAATACGCCGACTCTGCGCCGTACGTCATCTAATTGGGTCATTTTCCTGATCGCGCGATGAAACGGACACCAAAAGCGACGTCAATGCTAACGCGAATTCTCCCCTCAGGTACAAACATGGCGTCATTCATCCTCTGATCGAACCCTCCCTGCTGCGATCGGTCCGCGACGAAATCCAGGCCCAGGTCGACTTCACCGAGAAGGAGACGGACATCTACAAGATCTTCCAGTCCGGAGATCTGGCCAACCTCGACGGCCTCGACGACACTTCTCTCTCGCGATTGCCGTCGTTGCTGAAACTGCGCGATGCGATGTACTCGGCCCGCTTCCGCGAGTACCTGTCGTCCGTCACCAACTCGGGCAAACTGAGCGGCAAGAAGACCGACATGGCCATCAACATCTACAACGAGGGGTGCCATCTTCTGTGCCATGACGACGTCATCGGAAGCCGTCGCCTCAGTTACATCCTCTACCTGACCGACCCCGATACTCCCTGGCAGGCGGAATGGGGTGGAGCCCTGCGTCTGTTCCCTACGGCTACCAAGAAGGACGCCAATGGCGAGGACGTCAAGGTTCCCAGCCCGGACTATAGCCTCAGCATCCCGCCTGCTTTCAACCAGCTGAGCTTCTTCACCGTTCAGCCCGGAGAGAGTTTCCACGACGTCGAGGAAGTGTACCACCCGAGGGAAAACGAGGACAAGTCCAAGAAACGGGTCCGGATGGCCATCAGTGGCTGGTTTCACATCCCGCAAAAGGGCGAAGACGGCTACGAAGAGGGTCTGGAGGAGAAGCTGGCCGAGCGGAGCAGTCTGGCTCAGCTGCAGGGCCGCGGCGACATCTACGACCTCCCCCAGCCCCAACCTACCATCTGCCACGAGGAGACCGAGCCCAAGGTAGAGGGGAAAGGAAAGGGCAAGGTGGAGGAGGTGCCGAGCGGCACCGAATTCAACGAGGCCGACCTCAGCTTCCTGCTGCAGTACATCGCGCCCTCGTACCTCACCCCTGACATAGCCGAGGAGATGTCTGAAACGTTCGGTGACGAGTCGTCGCTGAACCTGGAACGTTTCCTGTCGGAGAAGTTCGCCGCGCGCGTACAGGAATACATTGCCGAGCAGGAGCGCACGGAGCTCCCCCAATCCTCGGACGAGATTCTGGCCCAAACCGGCTGGACGGTCGCACGACCGCCGCACAAACAGCGCTACATGTTTCAGCAGTACCCCACAACCGCGCAGGACCAGAAGACGCCGATCCAGGAGCTCCTAAACGACCTCTTCCCTTCACCGGCCTTCCGCAAGTGGCTGGCGCTTGTGACAGGCGCCGAGCGTATTACAAGCTACGATTACCTGGCGCGTCGGTTCCGACGCGGTCAGGATTACACCCTAGCCAGCGGTTACGATAGCGAGGAGCCGCGACTGGAATTTACGCTCTGTTTGACGCCCACCTCCGGGTGGGAGAAGGACGGGGACGACGAGGATGAGGACGAGATGGATGAGGCAGCGGACGGGAAGGGTGAGTCCGCGGCGGCATCAAAGGAACCCAAAAAGCAGACCATGGAGACCTCTGAGACCCAAGAGGAGCCCGCTGTGGGTGGCTATGAGATCTACATGGCCGGCGACGATGAGGACGAGGGTGATGCCGCCATCTACCGATCCGCCGCGGCCGAGGAGGACGACGGAATCCTGTTTAGCACAGCCGCCGGATGGAACCGTCTGAGCATCGTGCTGCGGGACAGCGGCACGCTCAAGTTTGTGAAATACGTCAGTGCTGCCGCCCAGGGAGACCGCTGGGATCTGACTGGCGACGTGGGTGTGGATTTCGGCGAGGACGAAGACGAAGACGATGAGGAAGACGCCGAAGCGGAGGATGACGAGGATGAAGATGATGAGTAAAAATAGTGCTTTCTTTTATCTTTGGCTACCTCAGCAAAAAAAAGAATATCATTTTGTATATAAATTTTCTATCCAATTTCTTTTTTCTCTCCTTTTTTTTTTACCCTTGTCTTTTGGTTTCAGTTCAATTCAATTCCCGCACGAAGTCATGAGAACTCGGAACGTTGGGCACATCTGGAGATTCCATCCTTTCATCTAACAACAAAAATAGAACATGTCTTCCATTCCTCTCATTTCCAAGTTGTTTCTAAATCGTCGTTGCCTACGCATCTGCAGGGCACACACACACCACGTCGTCCAGCAGTACCTAGGCAGCTCAGCTCAGCTCAACCAGAGCTCCACCTAGTACAGATAGGGCAGGGTAAATTATGTTAATGTAGATCGAGTCAGGATCTACAGGATCAATCAATAGACCGCAGGCAATCAACATCAATCAATCAAACATATTCTCACACATCGACCACTCACCACGCACCAGGACCTCACTAGTCTAATTAATCTAACCAGCAGCTGCGGCAAGGCAGCAAAGGGCGCAAACAAAGCAAGCTGAAGGGGATCGGATCCCAGCTAGCCAGGTGGCTGAGAACCTAGTTAGTTAGGTCTTGGATGAGAATCAAATGACCGCCAGGCCAGGAACATGAGGAGCTTGGTTTTTGACACAGCCACTTTACTGTACCTACTGAGTAGGTGTACTCCGTTCCTATTTGTTGGTTTCAGGTGAGCTGGGTAACTATACTGTAGGTTACCTAGTACCTATATTATCTGGGAGATATGGGATTTTAGGGTCTACTTTAGTATCTACAGGGTCAAGGTAAGGACAAGGTGACATTGACATTGGCATTGACATAGCCTACCTACCTACCTACCTATCCATACAAGATAGTGATTATCTAGCTAGTATTCCGTAAGTAAAGCAAGGCAGGGTAAGTGTTTGTTTAATTGATAGCCCATAAATCAAAATGACGGCTCATATATGAGCTCGATTCATAATTGAAAATTTACAGTTTGTCTCTTACCTAGTTAGTAACCCGTAGTACCTTACCAGGTAGGTGTGTATCTATTATCTCTATCCAAATATGAACGTTGACCTATCGCATAGTCCCACCGAAAGAGGACATTTCTCCTCAACGCTTTTATGTATGTATGTATCCGTACTGCCTGTGCGTGTGTGGCTAATATCGCGTTCCTCTTTAAGTTACGGAGTGCTCCGAACAGGACACCTGAGGACACTCAATCGAATCGACATCCACGAATTTCTAAAAAGCAAATACGTAAGTGACGAATGATCCTTTAAAATCAACACCGTAGTTATTGAGTTGTTTCTAGTTGGCTAGTTAACTTAATTGGTGAACAAACGCCAATTCTCCGTACAAAGAACCTCATACCGAGTTAGTTGATAGTTAAGTTGATCCCAAAACCACAATTCTTAGGTACTCTGTACTCCGCCCGCCATAGTAAGCCATCTTTCCATTTCCTCTCACCCCGAGAACCGATTGGACCAGAACATCCCAACCCCAGCCGGGCAGTCTCATGTATGTAAGAATAAATGATCATAACTACCTAATAATCATGATAATCATAGTCATGAAAGAGAAAAAGAAAACAGAGAAACAAAACAATCCCAGATTAGGAAAAATGAATAAACCACGTGGTCCCATCAAACACGACTAGTCCTACCAACACCCTTTCCTACCTTAGTATCCCGTCCATCCTCCCTCGTATTCGAGCGATCCCGAGAAGCGATTTTAATTTGTATTCTAGTTCTTGCGGTTCTTGCGGTTCTTGCGGAGAGAAAATTGCGGGAAAGATCCGAAAGACCGACGAGTCAGTTGAGAAAGTTTAAATCACCACCCAAAAGTTCCAAAATTGGGGTTATAAAGCTGGGTGAGGTGTTATTGATTCATTGGGTTAGTTTTGTTTTTTATCTTATTTTTTCCCCCTTGTTTGTTTGAGGCTCTTTCTCTCTGTCTCTCCCCCCCCCCCTCCCCATTTTTTCGCGAGCGAACCATATCTTAGAGCTCGGTTTTGGATACGTGAGACTAACTATGGAAAGTAGTTACTATCTAGGGGCTGGATCTTTTGGCGCTCTACATCCATCCTTGATAGTAAATTCATGAGTATTGCCTGTGCCATTACTATTCGCCTCGTTCTCAAACAAAGAATTAGCGTACAGCAAGTGTAATCTACACCGTATCTGCCATGTGGTGTGGCTAAGGCGGAAACTATTAAGCAACTATTTACCCTACGTCGCGTGATATGGCTACCAGGGTGGTTAAGGTTAGGTACTGACTCAGTCACCACGCTACCTATAGTTAGCTGTATGTATGTGCCTTACCAAGGTACTCCATGTTTCGTTTGCATTATAGATCATAATTACTGTAGAGGGGGGTGGTTATACATATTTTCTTTCTTTGAAAAGTAGATAAATCAAACTCCGTCTATTAACTTATCTAAACTAAATACGGCAAGGATGGGATGGGATGAATTGATCGGTTACCCTGGTCTTAGGACTTGCACGTGGGCACTATCGGTCCTGTTTAGTAGCATCTGGATCGTGATTAGGATCGATTATTCATCTGTTACTAAAGCTTACGGAGAACGCCGTCCTGGGTATTGGCATATCTACACCGTACATATTATTCTGCAGGTTGCGGGGCTTACGGAGCACATACTGTAAGGGGACGTAGGAGATTAGATATGATTTTGGCCGGTCATATCGATATTACTTAGTGGTTTGTGGAGGAGCCAAGAACGTGGGCAGTATTAGTGGCAGCCAGTCGATTCATACGGAGTACTTCGTAGTTCTATTAGTTAGTGATTCGGCATTCATTAATTAATACCTAATAATGAAACTCCGCAGTTATTCCGTAGCATATTCCTAGTTTAAGAAAAAGCCAAGCAACTAGGTAGGTACTAGTAGGTAAGAAAGTCGACACAAAGTACGAACCACTTACGGTGTACGATGTACGGTGTAGGTACTGCCGCGAAAAGGAGGTGATAGACAGGTCTTTTCGCCCCGGATGGTGTTGGATTCCTCAGCGCATGTACAGTAATTGATTAGTTGGCCGGGCCAGAAACTGTGCATGATTACGGATACTCAGTACAAAGCGATGTGGCCATAAGAGATACCAAGACCAGGCACTTCAGAGAATAAGGTCACTAAGCTAGGTATGTACATACGCAGAGATGGAAGCGAAGGAGAGATACCCTAAAAGGTACACCATTGCGAACCTAACGGAAGTCCCGAGGGGTGGTACTCCGAATTATATTGTGGATCAACTCCGGTGGTCAGTGAGCACTGCACAAAAATTTAATATATCCACGCGAGATGGTTCGCGTAGGATTCTGCAACTCCGAGTGGGAAAAAAGCCGCATGGTCAGTTCATCTAAAAAAGTTGACATGGGCTGACTCAAACCGTACTCCGTATGGAGAAGCGACATCGGTACGAGGCACGGCGGCGGTCATGTCATGCACACAGCATAGCCCGGCCCAGCCTAGCCTCAGGTTGCTCCTGGAGAGCGGCAACTGCAACGGTAACTAGCCCTACCGCTGTCAAAAGAGGTGGAAGGAGCACGAAGGACACGATCTAGGTCGACCGACAAGATTGATTAATATCCATTGATTTCGTGAAGGAAGTGTTGGGGACGAGTGGAGTCGGACTATGCATGATGCAAAGTGAAAGGGCCCCCAAACCCATTTTTTCCCTCTCGTCTGGACTAATCAGTCATCGTCTGTTCTCCCCGGGCGCTTGGATGACATGATAGATTAATTTGTTAGGTCAGCACAGTGCACAAGAGGCGACGGCGAAACTCCCCGGAGGAACACCAGGCATGTGCGGTTAAGATAGACGGTCATCCATACTCTGTCAGGCAGGTCCGTAAGGTGCCTGCACTGCCGGGGGTGTCAGGTAGATGAAAAAAGCGTGGCCCAGACCCAATAAGGCGCCAGGAACCCAGGCCTACCTAGTAGTTTCTGGGGCTTCCTTGCTGGCTCCGGTCATTATTGCCGGGCGCTATTAATATGGTTGTTCATTAATGCCATTTTCTCCTCTCTCTCTCTCTTAGGTTGAGACAGTACTCTGTACCTACTACCTAGTCGGTTTCCTTCTCTTTGTCCATTGACCTAATTTTGGGTCATGGTCGCTGCATAGCCTGTTCGCCAGTCTGTACCTGTATGGGCCTACCCTAAATCCTCCAACCCTCGATCCTTCGGGAGGGATTTATTGATCGAGTTCTTGAGCATGCACGATGGACTAGACCGGGATATCCCTGTCTGTCACACATTTCGGTGCCCCCTCCTCGCGCTGCAAGCTGCAGCATGTAACGGACATCACTCTGTCTGTGTTCACGTCAGACAGTCAGTGGTCCAGTAGAATGTACTGGCCCGTCTGTCCGTCCAGGTAAGGTTGTTCAGCGATCGGTCCTTCAACGGCAATCCATCCATCCATCAATCAAATCGGCCGGATGGTCCGTCCGCCCTTCCGCCCGTCAGAATCATGATAATCCACGGGATCACGATGCACCGGAAATCCATCCAGTCAATCCATCAGTCATCCAGGAAGGCCATGCTTTCGGCGGCACCTTGCATACATTGGGGCCAAGAGAGGGCGTCGGCAATCTATCTTCATCCGAGCCGGTACAGCCCTGAGAGCAAGGCCTGCGTAAGATTTGGGGGCGCCCGCGTGCGCCCCCAAGGGAGAGTGGGAGGGGAAAGGAGAGGGGAGGGGAACGAAGCAGATTGGCCCCGGGGATGAGTTGATGAGGATGATCTTCTCGGGCCTTCTTTCGGGGGGGGGGGGGGGGGGGTCTGGTGTCACCTACCCTGGCCGAGAGGGAAGAGAGGAGGGGCCACTACTGAGTACTGGGCTAGGATACTGCCTTAGGGTTACTTCGGGGCGAAAATGATGCATAAGTTAGTTGGCCTTTGGTATGTACATGTTGTCTTAGCGTCTGGATGGCCCTCGATGATTTGGCGTTATCGACCACGCTAGCAGGGGGCA